TGCTGAGTTGGAACGGCAGCCCAGGCCAGCAGGTTGGGGGACTCTGGTCACAGACACCAGGCTCTTGTCAGAATGTTCTGTCCCTGTTGCTCTCTTCATTTGTTTTCCAGCCCATTTTCCCCTCCTGGTAACCATTTGGGGGAGCGAGAATTAAACTCCTTTGATAGATGAGAAAACTGAATCTCAGAAATGTCCATGAAATTATTAGGGAATTTTCTCATGGACTTTTTGAAGCACCCATGTATATCCAAGGTCACACATTTGGTAGGGACAGAACCAGGATTCTAAAACGGTATCTGAGTCCAAATTTAGTACCCTCTCCACTGTCCTGCATAGGCCCCATATCCTGTCATACTGTGATTCTTTTTTGGCAAATCTCTTTTTCTTCTCGTATTTTGTGTCACGCTCTACCATCTTAATAGCTTTCTTCCTCCCCACTCCCTTTCCCCTTCTCTAACTTTCCTTCTTTTGTTAAAGCATAGCTCCTCAGTATATCTCTTGCCTGCCTGTGTGTTACCTCCTGGTCTCTCTTTTCCTCAGTATCCCTCCAGTCCTGAAAGGAAACTGCTATGTGGGTATGACAGGGAGAGCTGCTGTTTCCCACCATCCTCAGATCCCTCCAGGGATGGAGACAGGGACAAGAAAACGGGACAGGAGGGGACATCTGGTATTCCCTGTGAGCATGTAGTATGTTTCTGGCTTACCAAAACCCTGAAACAACTTTTCCTAGGTTCAGACAGCCTGTGTGTGAAGAGGGCAGAGCTGAGTAAAATAAATGTGGGGGCTGTGCCAGAGTGAAGTCACCCATTCCCAGTGGTAGGAGTTCCTCAGACCAAGCCAAGGCTGAGTGAGGAGGCACACCCTTCCTTGCTTCTCAACTCCCGTCAGTATGAGAGCAGATGAGGAACAGGCGGGGAGACTTTGGGGTCTAAGGAAGAGGCCGGTGAGGTCTTGGAAGACTACTGAAATACTTCCCTGAGGCTGGTATCTGGAAGCAGGGATGAGCCCAATCTTTGATTTAGAATCTCTTTTCATGGATCAGTCTCCCCTTGAGCCCCCTCCCAGTGTTCCTCTGTGTCTCTGTGGTGAGTTGGCAGGAGGGATTATTTAGAGGTCCAACAGGATCTTGATATCTCCCCACAATGTTTCCCCAGGCCACTCTGTCTCCCCACCAACTCTTCCTTTATCTTTCTCTCTCACACATATACTTTCTTGCCCTCTCTTTCTCCCTCTCACTCCCTCTCTCTCACACACACACTCCACAAATGGGCTGCAGGGCCTCTACTAGCGGAGGGAGGTGCCCCCTCCCCTAGGTAGCTGCAGAAGGGGAGAGTACAAGTCTTCATGGAGCTGGCTCACTGGGACTCTAGGATTAGGGGTCCACTGAGGAAAATTGGGAAGTCTCCAGAGGGGATTTGACTGGCTGTGGCCATTACGTGGGATATTTCCAAGGATTGGCACTTGGGTGTGGCAATGGCGGAATAGGGCTGGGGAGAGCACCTTTCTTTTTCCTTGCTCACATGGTATATAAAAAAGCCTACAGTCCCAGTTAGAGGAAACCCTACCTTAGTTATTCTGTTGTTGAGAACCACTGGTCTAGTCATGTGCGTCCCAAAGGTGGCAGAGATGAAGGGAATGCAGGATCACGCTGAAAGGCAAAGCTGGCTCCAGCAACTCTGTGGAGATGGGGACCATCAGTAGCTTCCCAGCCTCCAAGGTGGGATCAGGGCCTGAATGTTAGAAGCAGACAGGGTTCACATTCTAGAGCTTTCACTTACTGGTTTATAGTCCTGGGCAAGTGACTTACCATCTGTGGGCCTTGGTGCCTTCTATTATCCTCTGTAAAATTGGAATCATAATAATGCTGATCTCTTGGGTCTGTTACTCTGTTGTAAATGAATTCATGTACATAAAGCACTTAGTTTTGTCCTATGTCCAAGGCATTCAGAATCATAATTCAAGGAGAAGCCATAGGGAAAGATGACACCTCCTCAGAAGTCTGGGGAGTCAAGAGTACTCCTCCGAGGCAAACAGAGAGGGGCTGCTTTGTGACTGGAGATGGTCCAGGAGGACTGAAGACTGTGCACCTTCACACCACTAAGAGACCTCCAGGCTGGGGCTGGGTGGTGGGTGGTGGGGCAGATAGGTGCTAACACCCTGCTACAGACTGCCCACTGGAGCCTGGGCTGGGAGTAGAAAAGAGGGGCCAGGACTCCAGCCATAGACCATCTGTCCATGGTCACTGTCCCCCTGATGGTAATTTTATAGCCAGCTTCAGCTCTGCAAACTGAGGAGCGATACCAAGGTGCCAGGGAGGAGCCACAACCAGGGGAGGGTCTGCTATCTTATACTTCCTTATAGTCCTAAAGAGAGACTGATGGTTCCGCCCTGGCTGCTAACCAAAAGACCCATGGTTGAACTCACCAGTGACTCCTCAGAATCTGTTCCCATGAAGACTACAAAACCCTAAAGGGCAGTTCTGTTCTGTCCTATGGGGTCACTATGAGTTAAAGTACACAACACTCACCAACAGCTTATTCCTAAGGAGTCCCTGGGTGGTTCAGACTGTTAATACACTCAGCCACTAACGGAAATGGAAATTTGAGTCCACCCAGAGTGCTCCTTGGAGGCCAGGATGGCCAAACTTTATCTCTCACCCTTTGGACATATTGTCAAGAGGGATCAGTCACTGGAGAAAGATATCATGTTTGGTAAGGTGGAGGGTCAGAGAAAAAGAGGAAGACCCCCAGCAAGATGTATTGTCAAAGTGGCAGCATCAATGGTCTAAAGCATGACAAAACTTTTGTTACTGTTCTAAAGCTCTTGCCTCCACAGCTTTTCATACCTACATTCTTGTGATCCTCACACACTCTGAGGAGATGGAAGCAACCTCCCCCGTTATAAAGAGGCCCAGATGGCCTAGCATACTTCCAGAAGAGATATGGTCAGAACTGCTGAATATTCTTTCATCCATGAAGAGAGTGGAAAAGTGGGGAAAGGGGTTGCATTCCTGCCAGACACCCCTATTTTGTGTCCCTCACAACAGACCCAAGAGTAGACAGGGTCATTCCCATTTCATGGTGGGAACACTAAGGGTTAGGAAGACTGAGAGAGGGCTTTTGCTAATGCCGCAGGAACCAGCCTTGTTCAAGTGCAGGTTTTAAATCAGACTGGTGTGACAATTAAGGATCCCTAGTTTCATCATGTTTAAACACTCAGCTGTTAACCAAAAAGGTTGACAGTTCAAACCCACCCGTTCTTCCATGGGAGAAAGATGAGGCAGCCTGCTTTTCCAAAGATTTCAGACTTGGAAATCCTATGGAGCGGTTCTACTCTATGGCAGTGGGTTTGGTTTTTTTGGGTTTGGTGTGATAATTTACCTTGGGAGACTATGGAATTGGCTCCTTTGGTATTAAAAGGTCAGGAATTCAGAGGACTAAGGTTTTAAAGTATGAATATCTGGGTAGATGGTAGGAGGACCAGTAGGGATATCCAAAGCAGATGTGAGAGGAACGTCCTGACCTCAGGAGGGAATGGGGAAGGGCGTCCCGGGCGTCCGCAGCAGAATCATGACCTGAGAAAGCCCCGGAGGAAGTCCACAGAGGAGCAGCCTTCTCTTGGATCCAGAGGGTGGCAGAGCTATTGTTTTCACATGTTTTCTAATAACTCTGTACCTCACAGAAATGGAGCCCGATGACTTCTGCCTTTAATTGGCACGGGCTGTTTCCGGTTCCGGTGCTTGTGACTGGGCCACTTTCTTTGTGTTTAACGCCTGCCCCCACATACACCTCACCCTGCCCCTGCCCCCCCCCCCATACATAGAAAGAACGAATGAGCTGACCCGGCTGTTTTCGGGGTGTGCTGTGTGTAAAAATACATGGGGTTGAGCCACTTCCTGCTGCTTCCGTTGTTGCGTGATGATAAGATACTGGGGACTCAGCTGTGGACAGAGATCCTCCCTGCAAGCTGAGGGGAGCCAGACACCCACGAGAGAGGTCCCCAGCCTGCCCTTTCTCATCTGATCTTGTGCTTTTTGTATTTCCTATTTTCTGTGGCCTTTCCTTCCTCTCTTTCCTCCTCCTCATTCTTTCTCAGTCCTTCTTCTCTCCTGTACCATCCTAATGTGCTCGAGAATCCTGCTTGCTGGGCAGCAGGGGGGCCTGTTGTTTCCTTCCTGGGTGCCCATCCCCTGCCAGCTGGGCAGCTGGTCCCGTCAGGCCTCCAGAGCTGGTCCCTGCTTCCCTTGGTCTGCAAGTTAGTCCTTGGACTTCAAGCCCTGGGAATCTGGCCAGTGGGACAGGTGGGTGTGAGCACCTCTCGCGAGCCTGGAAGACCAGGCAGGGTGGAGTGCCCCCCACCCCACCATGAAACGAAGGAGGTTACTGACGACTCCAGAAAACTGGAAGGTAATGAAGGGGCTAGAAGAGGTGTCAGCAGAGGTGGGTGGCCTGCTAGGCTTGATTAGTGAAGATGGGGTGGGGAGGTCAGGGAAACATAGTGGGCATGGGTCAGAGCCCAAAGTTTTGGTCAGCTCTGAGGGAAAGGCCTGTGAACGACAGGAGCCTTAATGGGGAGGTAAGTCCAGAGGCACAGTTTGCTCCCAGCACTGAGACTCTCCAGGAAGATTTCAGCTCTGCTTGGTCTGTGTGAGGAAGCAATAGGAGTTCTGGGCTAGAAGTTCTGACATTTTGTAACTGTGCATTCTGAAACAACTTGCTTGGTCTCTCTGGGCCAAATTCCTGATCTGTAAAATGAGGAGCAAATGTGCCCAGATTGCATTTTTGGGATGTTGTTGGGACTGGGTTGATAGATAAATAGCCAGCTGGCGTGCTGCTGTTCTCTCCACTTCTTCCCTTAAGATTTCTATTCGTCCTACATCTATTCCCCAGGTAGAGAAATCCAGCCCAGAAGCATCCGCGGCACATGAAAGAATTCTGCCGAATTCCCTACTGCTGGTTTCCTGATTTACCCATATTTCTTCTGCTTGCCTTCATCCCCAGGTTGACAAGGGGGACCTGGTGGCACTGAGCCTCTCAGGTGGTCCCAGCCATGGTGACACTGATGGCCCCATCAGCCTGGAAGTGCCTGAGGGGGCCCCAGACCCCCAGCGGACCAAGGCTGCCATTGAACACCTGCACCAGAAGATCCTGAAGATCACCGAGCAGATCAAGATCGAGCAGGAGGCCCGGGACGACAACGTGGCGGAGTACCTGAAACTGGCCAACAATGCGGACAAGCAGCAGGTGTCCCGCATCAAGCAAGTGTTTGAGAAGAAGAACCAGAAGTCAGCCCAGACCATCGCCCAGCTGCACAAGAAGCTGGAGCAATACCGCCGGCGCCTGAAGGAGATCGAGCAGAATGGGCCCTCGCGACAGCCCAAGGATGTTCTGCGGGACATGCAGCAGGGCCTCAAGGACGTGGGCGCCAACATGCGCGCTGGCATCAGCGGCTTCGGGGGCGGCGTGGTAGAGGGTGTCAAAGGCAGTCTCTCTGGCCTCTCACAGGCCACCCATTCTGCAGTGGTATCCAAGCCTCGGGAGTTCGCTAGCCTCATCCGTAACAAGTTTGGTAGCGCTGACAACATCGCCCACCTGAAGGACCCTCTGGACGATGGACCCGCGGAGGAGGCGGCTCGGGCGCTGAGCGGCAGCGCCACACTGGTGTCCAGCCCCAAGTACGGCAGCGATGATGAATGTTCCAGCGCCAGCGCTAGCTCGGCCGGAGCAGGCAGCAACTCTGGGGCGGGGCCCGCTGGCGTGCTAGGCAGTCCCAAGTCCAACATGCTGTACGGCGCCCCGAGCAACCTGGACACTCTGCTGGAGGAACTGCGGGAGATCAAGGAGGGGCAGTCACACCTAGAGGATTCCATGGAGGACCTGAAGGCTCAGCTGCAGAGGGACTACACCTACATGACCCAGTGCCTGCAGGAGGAACGCTATAGGTAGGTTCAGGAGCGGGGCACCAGCTCAGACATAGAGACCTATGAAGGAGCCTTTACGTGCATCCTGGGCTGCTCAGAAGGGCCAGGGAAGACCCTGAAAAGCCTTTCTTCAGACTTGTCAGGGCAGCTAGAAGACAGGAGGCATAGATCATGGGACCTGTTGAAAGAAGGACCTATCTCAGGAGGCTTGGCACATCCCTGCCTGGATCATGAAGTGGTCTGTGTACAGAAGGGGAAACTAACTAAGGCAGGTCCATAGCTTCTTACCTGGTAACACTGTGGTTAAAAGCACCAACTCCAGAACCAGATTCCCCCCAGTAATCTGACAGGACAGCATAGAGCTACCTAGGTTCAAATCCCAGTCCTGCCATCTACCTCCTACCTTGAGCATGAGCAAAGTACTTAACCTCTCCCTGCGTGGTTTGGTTTTGTTTTTCGTCTGTGAAATGGGGACAAAATGAATACCTACTTCACTGAGTTGTTGTGAAGATGGAGTGAATCCCAGTATGTAAAGTCAAAAGCATGTAAATATAGACGTGATAAGTTTGATCTTTCAGTTGAAACTCCTGAGGTCAGCCTGGAGTCTGGCCAGAGTCTCAGGGGTCTCCCTGCCCTCTGTGGGCCTCTGCACTCTTGCTTAGTGTCTCCTGCTGGCAGCTGGCACTTGCTCCTTGGTATTCTTGTGGATCTTTACCTCCATCAGCACTATTTCTATTCTTGCAAAGTTAAAGGGAACGCTCACCTAAAACCTGACCACATTCCATAAGGGTCATTTTTTGATGTTTAATACCATTAGAAAAGGGGCCGTGTTCTCTGTACCTGTGTGTCCTTGTTACCCAGGAGAGAGTATCCTAGCCTAGGTTGAAGTCATTTCAGCCCCAACTCCTTCATTCACAAGTTCATTCACAAGCCATGTGATCCCAGGCAAGTTCCTTTCCCTCTTCCTGCTTCAGTCTTCCCATCTGTAAAACGGGATGATACTAGTGCCTACCACATGCTGAGGATCATGTGAGATACATGGGTTAAATGCTTAGCACTGTGCCTGCATGTAGTAAGTACCGTGTCAATAGTAGTTGTTATTGTTGTTGCTAAAATTAGAACACGGTCAAACATGTGGGGTGAGCTGAGTCATTGTTGGTTGAGAGAACAAATGATAACCGTCCTGGGGACAGAAGGGGGGAGGAGCAGGGAGCCAGGTCTCACCTCTGTCCTCTGTTAGGTACGAGCGGCTGGAGGAGCAGCTCAATGACCTCACTGAACTGCACCAGAATGAGATGACCAACCTGAAGCAGGAGCTGGCCAGCATGGAGGAGAAGGTGGCCTACCAGTCCTATGAGAGGGCTCGGGACATCCAGGTGCGGCCAGGAACCACAGGCAGCAGCCCGAGGGTGTTGGTAGTTACCAAATGGGGGCTGATGGGCTGGGGCAGATAGACACATGGACCTAGAGGGCAGCATGCAGTGAGTGGAGATAGGAGGCAGAAGGAAAGAGCAGAATCAAGGCAAGCTGACTGTCCAGGGCCACTTATATGCCACCTCTTCTGTGGCCACCTGGGAAATGAATATTTAAGGATTCCCAAATTGATGACAATTGGTTTAAGAAGTGCTGGGTGACACAAATGGTAAAGTACTGGGCTACTAACAAAAGGTTGGCAGTTCAAACTCACCCAGAGGCTCCTTGGCAGGTCGGCCTGGAAATCTGCTTCTGAAAGTTCACAGCCAATGAAAACCATGGATGCACATAGGTCACTGTTAGTCAGAACCAACTCAATGACAAATGCTTCAAGAGGGAGCTAGGATTGGGCCAGCTCCTCCCAAATAGTCACAAAGAACCCAACCCCCAGCCCCAGCTGATCAGCTCACACCCCTTTGCAGGGGGAACCTCATGCATTGTCACTTTCTCAGTGGGATGAGCAGGCAGGGCTCAGCTTTGAGAGTCCTGCCTGCCCTGAGCACCCGTGTCCAACCCTTCTGCCCCCTGCAGGAAGCCGTGGAGTCCTGCCTGACCCGGGTCACCAAGCTGGAGCTACAGCAACAACAGCAGCAGGTGGTGCAGCTGGAGGGCGTGGAGAACGCCAATGCGCGGGCACTGCTGGGCAAGTTCATCAACGTGATCCTGGCTCTCATGGCTGTGCTACTGGTCTTTGTGTCCACCATTGCCAACTTCATCACACCTCTCATGAAGACACGTCTGCGCATCACCAGCACCGCCCTCCTGGTCCTGTTCCTCTTCCTCCTCTGGAAGCACTGGGACTCCGTCAGCTACCTCCTGGAGCATGTGTTGCTGCCCAGCTGAGTGGCCAACCTGCCCTCGCCCCGTGTTCTCCAGGCCCTGCTGGCCATGCTTCTCTAAGAGGGACCTGGGACCGCCAAGTCCCTTGGACTTCTTTGTGTGTCTAGTTGGGCCTTCTGCCCAAACTGTCCATTCCAGCAGTTCCTGCTCCTTCTCTGACCCTGCTTCTGTCTGACACCTTCTCCCTGTTGGCCTGAAGGGGGCCTAGAGTGCAGCCCTGGTGGAGATGGAGGTGACACATGTGCCAGTGGAGTGGAGGAGGAGGACCTGGGGGTTGGCTTGTGTGGATTATTTACAATCACACCAGGACTTCTCTCAGCTGGCCTTGGGATGGCCCGGGTCAGAAAGGCCAGAGAGAAGAGCAGAAGAGGGCTATGTTGGGGAAGGAGTCTACCTTGGAGGCAGCTACTATTCCCTCCAATGGAGATGATCTGGATGAAGGCCAGAGAGTGAGGAAGAAGGCTTCATTGGCCCAGAGAAAGCAGGGAGGCTAGAGAGGACGTTGAAAGCAGCTATCTGAGAGACCCAACCATCCATTTTCCCTTCAGAGTCCGTTTAAAATGAGGTGACATGAGGGATGCAGGCTCTCAAGGCCACCGGGGTATAACTTTGGACTTGTATCTTCCCTGCTATTCTTTCTGCCTGTCACTGGATCTGCCATTTTCAGGGAAACTGACCCCAGGGGCCCCCAGCCTCAGCCTATTCCCTTAGGCCTCTGGGAGCACATTAGGTTCTATTTATTTATTTATTTGTTCCTTTGTACCTGGACTCCTCCCTTCTCCCTGAAGCCTGGGTTTATTCTGGGCTCATCAGGGCGCTCCCTCACTGTTTGACCTCTGGATGATGTCAGCTGGGAGAAATGGGTCAAGCCACCCTGCCTCCGGAAGCAGCTACTCAGCCAGGATGGGAGGAACGGGACCTCTTTTATACGTCTTATTTAGTCTATTTATATTTGTACGTGTGTATTTGTGTGGAGAAGGTTGTTTGTCTCTTTATTTTTTTAAGGCTCTGGAGTGTTGTGTATGGTTTCTCTTCACATCCCCCACTTCCCATGCCCCCTCCCAAGAAGAGAGGGGATTTCTCGGGAAAGGAGAGTGGAATCTCCCAGGGCAGGGGAGGGCGTGCCTGCCAGCTGTTGTGGGCCTTCCGAGAAATAAATATCCTCTAAATTTTCAAGCCATTCTGTCTCTAGTGAATTGGTTACATTGTCTCCATGGAAACTACGGAGTCTCTCCCCACACCTACAGCTAGGCCTCTTGGGTAAACTGGGCCTCATCCAGTGGCCTTGGGGCCTCCTTCCTCTTGGATGGGACAGGTTGACAAGGCATTGTCTTTTCTATCTTTCCCACCTTTCTTTGTGTAGCCAAATCTCTCACCTAAATGCTAAGTGATAGGGAAATGCGGTGACACTCACTCTATCCAGCCCCTCTAGAGTACTCTCTAGGTGGAGGGAATGGGAAAGGTTTCCATAGCTTGGGGAAGATAAGCAGTGGGGAGTCCTGGGTAATAGCATTCATGCCCCAGTGTGGCCACAAGAGGGCAGCAGAGTCCCTGCTCTAAACCCTCTTTTGGGCTCAGCCAGGAAGAAGGGCGTTTAGCTTGGCCTCATCTATGCGGTCCAGCTTGAGCCCAGATCACCTTCTCAGCTGGAGCTGGAGCACAGCTGTGGACACAGAGAGTCAGCCTACTGTGGCAATAGCTCTCACCCCTGGCAGTTTCCTACGGGCACCCACAGAAGGCACTGGATTTCCAGCAGGAACCCTTTGGGAGGAGGGAGATGCTGGCCTCCAGCTTCATGACAGCAGGAAAGGTTGTAGGAAAAGCACACAATCTAGAGTCTGGAGACCTGGGTTCTAACCCTTGTTAGTATACCTATGATCAACTCCCACCCCCTCTCAGGGCCTCAGTTTCTACTGTAGTATGGGACTGATGCTGGGCTCTGATGTTGTGAGGTTCCGCGGATCTGAGAAAATCAGAAATTGCAATTGTATCTGTGACCTCGGCTTAGGGTGATTCCAGGAGCCAGGGACTGGGCCCTCCAGGGATGAGGGGTGTTGTACCGGTACTGTGAGGAACATGGCTTTGGCAGTTTATCTTCTTACACTGCAGGGGTTCCACCACGTCACCTGTACAGTACCTTTTAACAGCGCCATTCTTGTGCCTACCTCCACAGGCTCTTCTGGCCACCCAAACACACTCGGCGCCCTTGGGGGCCCCTGAGCAGCAGGGGGCCACATTCCTGGACCCAGGTGGGGGGTGGCAGCTCTGAGCTGCGGACATTTCCCACATTCCTCTCCAAGGTCAGGTGCCTTCCCTGTACACACTGAAATGTCACTGCCAGCTACAGCAGAGTCTGAGGCTGCAAAGCAGAGTCTGAGGCTGCAAAGCATATGTAGGAGGAGGAAGATCATCTGTGCAAAGGGGAGAAGCAATGCAGGCCAGTGTTTGTCTCAGTGCTCTGTCTGGGAACTGGGTGTGTTCCTCTGGTGCTCATGGACACCTCCCTGTTTGTCTCTGTCCTCCCTGTAAAAGGAGTGAATTACTCCTCTCCAGATCTGACCCTTCTCCAACCAAGTTCATAGGGTGGCATCCAGAGGGCTGCTTGCTCTGCTGGGGACCAACCTCCCCAATGAGCAGACACCTCTGAAGCAGACCTCAGCCCCATACCTGAGGATCCAGGAAGCCCGCCTTGCCAGCCTTTGCCCACCCAGAGTAAGTGCAGCTGAGATAGTCTCTGCTGGAGTTGGCCAACTTGGCACTTCATCATTCCAGCAGCACTTGGCAGGCAGGTGTAGCTGGAGCAGGCATAGGAATATGCCCATGCAGAGCTGGCAGTCTGTGACAGCCTAGTGGGAACTAGGGTGCTGCAGCAGGTGCATCCCTAAGAGGCAGCTAAGTGACACTATTCTCGCCTTACATGTGGGAGACCTGGGTTTATTCCTGGCCAGTGTCCCTGGTACACAGCCACCCCCTGCCTGTCAGGGGAAACTGTGCTGCTGTGTTGTGGAGCAGGATTCAGCAGAGCTTCCAGACTAAGACAAACTAGAGAGAGAGTCTACTTCTGAAAATCCACCCAATAAAAATGGGATGGATCACAATAGTCTAAGCTACAAGTGATCATAGGGGTGGCACGGGGCCAGGCAGCATTTCGCTCCCTTGTGCATGGGGTTGCCACCAGTCAGGGCCCACTTGTCTTGTTAGCAGCCAAGGTCAACAACAGCCCCAGGTTATAACTCCCTGGTGATTCTGGGTGGGGAGGGAGAGAGGATTTTCCTCTTCAGTGAAGTTCAGTCCTAATAGTAGAAGCACAGACTTTGGAGGCTGGCAGACTCTGCAAAGCCACTCATCTTAGACAAGGGGTCAGCACTCTCTGACCTGTCTCCTCACCTGTGAGAGGAGTAGAAATGGCACCTGGTTTGCAGGCTTTGGCCGCAGAAGACCTTCGAGACCTTATCACAGTGCCTAGTACACATCAAGGGATTAACCCAGAGCAGTTATTATACCTCATACCACATATTACACCTCATATCACATATTACACCTCATAACCACAGGGTTGTTAAAGTGCGGACCAAACTGCTTAAAGTAGTTCCAGGCAGACCTGACAGGAACAAGTAAAGCTGAGACCAACACAGTGAGTCTGGCCTTTGACCCCAGAAATACTTTTGGAGATGCTTTTAGCTCAGTAGCAACCCTCACAGTGCCTCTTCCCCATGAGCTAAAAACCAAAAAGCCAAACCAACATCCACCAAGTCAGTTCTGACTTATAGCCACTCTGTAAGACAGAACAGAATCACTCCCTGGGTTTCCGAGGCAGTAAATCTTTATGGAAGCAAACTGCCACAATTTCCTCCCACACGGCGACTGGTGGGTTTGAACTGCCAACCTCTTGGTTAGCAGACCAACACTTAATCCACTGTACCATTCCCAGAAGCCTCTTCTGTAAGTCTTGTAGGCAAAGTAAGTCTAGTGGCTCACTAGCAAGCCCCAGCTTAAGAGAGGCCTGGACTGGACCAGGCCTGCTGCCATTAGCCTGGCCCCCTGTAGACAGCATAGTCCTATGTGTGTGGTCTAGAAAAGATGTAGAATTAGCGTTAAGAGACTCAGTCACTGGTGGCTGTGAGGTCATAGGCTCAGTTTCCCCATCTGAGACAAGGGGATAAAGATACCTGTGCTTCCCAATCAACAGGGCTATCATGACACTCAGAGATGTTAGGTGTGGATGTCTGCCCCTACATCACCCTAAGATCTCGCTCCCTTTGGGACCCACCTGTCAGGGTACTGCCCCCTATCTTGGGACCCCAGGGAGGGTTTTGACCAGCTTGGGGACACAGCTAGGGGCAAAGCTTGGGAAAGTGGCCATCCGTGACCCTTCCACCAAAAGGCTTATAGCTAACCCCTGGATGAAGATGAGAGAAAGAAGTTTGGGCCACACCAGGCCTGCTGGGATGGGGTGTGGGGAGGGGAAGCTGGGACTTGCTTCAGCACATCCTGACTTGCCAGTCCAAGAGTAGTCCAGGGTGCTGCCGGCGGTACTTCCTCCCACATGGGGCCTCCCAGCAGAGTGGACCTACCCCAGACAGCCCATCTCTGCCCTGTGCACACCCTGGAGGTCAACTGTCCAGATGAGGTACCCTAGACCCAGCAGTGTGGACCAGGCCACCTCAGTCAAGTTCCTGTCTCCAGGCAGCCACTCACTGGGTCAACTCTGCTTTCAGAAGCACACAGAGAAGGAAAGTACACAATCTCTCAGACACCTAGCCTCACCTGCCCAGCCAACCTCCTGGTCTCAGGGTTCCTTTGTGGCCTTTCATTGTTGCTTTTGCTGTCATTTGGTTCACTGGAATAGGGTCTCCATAAATTGAACTCATTGGTAATGTCTTTGTTTCACTGGATTGGGATAAGGGCTCAAGTAAAAGCTTGAGAAAGATCTGGGTCCTTCTGGCCTGGGGGCTCTGTTCTCTGTTCTCCTTCAAGTTGGCTGAGTCCCCTCAGTAGCACCTTCCTGGGTCCCCAGCTCTAGTAAGAAACCATCCACTTTTACCTGGAGCTGTCTCTGGACTATTACTGGAGTTGGCCTCCTTGATCTCTTTCTAGTGAAGACCAGTGTTAGGGTGGGATGAAGAAGAGAGGATTTTCCATGAATCTGTTCATTCAATGAACTCATTCAATGAGTAAGTCACTGCATAGACCTGTTATGTCTCTGACCAGTCCCTTCCTCACCTTCTCTGCTAGATGGGCTACGCCCAGCCAAAGACAGGAAGACCTATGAGTCATGTCATTTGCCAAAGAGCAGAGGAAGAGTTGGATGAGGAGGAGCCTGGTTCCATTCTTTCTCTCCCTTTCCTTCCCTGCTGGTCTTACAGATCCTGTCATTGCTTGGCAGCCTGGAATCCAGGTGTGCAATTCCAAAAAGCCACCCAGCCTTGGGTTTATTCAAGAAGCATGGTTTTGAGGACCCAGAGACAAGCAAAACATGGTTCCTGAC